AACGATTTTGATTTACAGATCGTAAAATCATCGCCAATTATTTATGCTCAAATGCCATTCTATGCCAGTTATTTGTATGAAACTTCTATAATAACAAAATTCATATCTACAGTACGTGGCATATGCAAAACTTTTGACGAACGAGGACTGCCCAACTATCCATCAGGCATCCCTTTTGTTTATTGGGAACAATATCAAGAACTCAATCAATATTTACTTGTGGCCATGTCATTAGCATTTTTTGTTTTGTTTTTAATCTGTGGTTTATTCCTATGCAATATCCGAGCCGCCCTCATAACATTATTTATGTCTGCTACACAAACTATTCAAATTTTGGGTTTTATGGGATTTGCTTACATAAAATTCAGTGCCATACCCGTTGTGTTAGTAATTGGTACTTTGGGTACTGGAATAGCGTTCACTATACACCTTTGCTTGGTTAGTTAAATAGAATATTTTTAATAATTATACATTTTAATATTAATTATATATTTTAATCCTACAGAGTTTTGTCACGAGTATAGGTGATAGACACAGACGAATTCATCTTTCTATAGATCATATGTCTAAAATAATCCTTCAATCTGGAGTTACTTTAGTTATCGCTGTTGTAATGCTTGTTTTCCAAAATAATTATGTATCAAGGTAAGATGAGAATTTTTTTGTTGTGAATAAATATTAATGTTTTAATATTCAATTGCAGGTCATACTTTTTCATATTAATTGCTAATACAGTATTTGGATTATTTAATGGTCTTGTGTGTTTACCAGTATTCTTATTTATGTATGGACCACCACCAGAGGTTTGTTTGTTTATATAAATAACTATAAGGAATTTTAATAATTATTAACCATTTAAACTTTTTTTGCAGATAAAGCCATTGAAGTATACTGACCGTATAAGTACACCATCACCAGAACCAATTAAAAAGCGGGCTCGTTATACCAGCATCAGACAATCAGTACCTCCACCACCATCAAATCGAACTCATTATCATCAACAGCAAAATCATCACAGACATCATCAACAACATCAGGGAAATAATAGTTTGTCTAGAGCTCATAGTGGACTACACTATGTGCCTAGAGATGGATCATTATCCACTATTGCTGAAGAATCTGGTTCCTATCATTCTGCATCTATAGCTCACATAGAAACAAACAAATCACAAGTAAGTTCAGTAGGTTCTCAATAACTAGACATTGGTAATATATTTTAATTTAAAATCCTATGTATTAAAAAATGTTCTTTTCTTTCTGATAGTTGTACTTTGAACCTTTTTTAAAATTTAAGCTGGAAGCCTATATTACTTACAACATTGAAAGTTCTTAAATTAAATTCAAGTTCTTCAAAAAAAGTTATATAATAAATAAAATAATAAAAATATTCCCCTGTGATCTGCAATATTATACATAATATGATATTAAATGTGGTTAGAACATGAAAGAATGTTAAAATTGCATTAAATTGTTTAATTTAACATCCATACTCTAGATTTTATATAAGTAAAAATTGAGTGTTCAAACCTCTTCAAAATCTTTTACAAAAAAATATTTACTAATATTTGTTTAATATGTAACTCATAATTCATAATTTGTATGGGTAAAAATTACTATTTATAAATCTAAAATATTTTTCTTTGTACATGTTTGTCTATACTTTATATATTTAGTAGAAATATTGAATTTTTTTATCGTTAAATATTAATTGAGAAATATTTGTTTAGCAGTCATTATCAATATCACCAACCCCATCAAGCCAATCAGACTATAGTACAGACAGTGGTTCCGAAATTGATGCACCACAACGAACTCAGTCTGTACCTACTGGATCAGCTCAGACTTCTGCACCAACCAGGTGCATAGTAACAGCTAAATTTGAACTTGAGCTTGACGGTAATATGATGAGTGCAGCCGCTCAACCTTGTGTGCATAAATCATCATCAAAACATCATCACAACAACCGTCAATCAAAAAGGCATAAACGCCATCATAATACTAGGTACTGATATAATAGTGCAATTTGTATTTTTTTTTTTTTTTAATTTTAACAAATTGAATAATTATTTTTGCTAGTAAAAACGCTCAATTCATTGTATATTTTAGATATTTTATAATGACAATTATAATTTGACTTTCAGAGTTAGTTATGTAATTGTATAGCTCTCTTTGTAAGCTTAAAAGACTGATGAATAATGAGTTTAGTCTTAATTAAGACTTTTTGTTGAATAACTCTACTTTTTATGTTTTTTTAACCAAAATTGTTTTGTATGGTTTAAATATTATTTTTATTATTATATAATGTGTATTTGTTAAGTTAATTGAATGAAGTAAATCCTTCATACACCCTACACTTTAGAAAAAATACTGTCCCGATTTAATTGTGTACCCCCTAGTACATTATAATCGCAACACGATGCTCGGTTCAAATTGTATTTTGTTAAGATTCAAATAATTCTAGTCAACTTTACAAAAAATTGCATTATTTATTTTGTTTTATAAAATAAGTTAATAATACTATCAACAAAAACAATAATTTACAATTTATTACTACAACAATGAGAAATTACTTTTTTTTCTGTTTTCAATATATATAATATATTTATTATATATGTACAAATTGTTCCTAATCGTTTTTATTGCGTCATCCGTTGATTAAGAATACATATTATAGATTACTAATATTTTATACATTCCTCGCATGATATTTTATACAATTTATTTAAATGTACAAAAACAATTGTGTTATGATTTGTAAAATAATATTGATCAGTTGACTGATGTACATTAATTATTAATCCTAGATAATTCATAAAAATATCATTTTCAATGAAATGATTATTTTTGAAATCACACAATTCATTTAAGTGTTAATTTTATGTAAAATAATTTGAATGATTATATTATGCAAACGTATTGCAATTTACAGTACAAAATGTTCATAGAAAATAATCTAAAATAATTTTTGTACCTTTTTGGATTTTATTTATTTATTTATTTTATTTTTCTGTATCATATGTATTATGCGAAATTAATTTATTTTTGTATTTATTTTAAATGTAAAAATGTTGTAAAAAGAAATTTAGTTTATAAAATATAACCAAAGGTTTATTTATAATATATTTTTGAAAAATTTATTTAATAATTTAATTTTCAGGCATGGTTTTTAAGAAGTGTATAATATAATATATTATCATAAGCATATATTGCATATAATCCACTTAAAAATGTTAAATTGACTAAGTTTGTAAATTTAATGTAGTTGATTGATATTTTACAGTTTTAAAAAAAAAATTTTTTTCAATTTAAAAAGTTCTTTTTTACCTCGAAATTTTAAATAATCTTTTTATATATTTAACATTTTTACATGCATATTTTACAATTTTTCGTGCATTTTTTTGTTTTAGCTCCTATAACTTCCTAGTCCTACTAAATAGTGAAGATTAATAATATCTCTCAAATTAATAATTGATTTTTACATAGGTATCTTACATTACACATTAGTTTTTTTTTACAACATTGAGAACAAAACCAATCTGACTCCTTAAGTTCAGATTTAATATTTAAATCACATTTTATGTAAAGTCAAGTCAAATAATTATCAAACTATATTTTTTTAATTTTTATTAATAATGTCCACATTACATTGGTGAAAAAACATTTAAAAATATTTAATTCCTTCTAAAAGATATTCCCTTTAAAATCCACTAAAATTCCATGGTATATTTTATCTGGCCAACATTTTATTTCTATGTAATCAACAATGTAATTATTGTACAGTGCTCTAGTAACAATATTTTTTATCAGTTATTATCCATTTTAATAACAGTTCCTATTTTTTTTTTTTTTTTAACTTTTCTTCTAAATATAAGAGTAATCCTTTTTTTCAATTAGTCAAATTACTCCAATTGTTGTTATTAATATTCCCTTGGGCTAGTCAAGTATTTTTTAATTTTAGAAGACAGTTTAATAGACTTTAAATTTGGTATAAGAATGTAATTAAATATTTTTTTGATAATTTATATAAATGCATACAATTGTATGATAATTTCCTTAACTTACCATCAGTATCTGCATTATTGTCATTGTGAATATTGGAAGTATCATCAAACATTGTTGTTGATTACTATCATGCTCTCTTTTTCCTCTTGTTGATGAAATTCACATCTGTTATAACTAAGACAACTAACACTAATTTTTATCATCATTATCAAAAAAATAAAAACCTTTTAAATAATATCAACTTTGAATTGTGTATCGTGTGATTCACATAATAAGTATCATGAAATTTTAATAAATGTATTTCTTGTTGACGTTATATTATTATAGATTAATACCCTACTCAACGATTAATGTATTCTGTGTTATTAGTATAAAAAATTATTATTTAGACAAGTTTGGTATGTTACCTATCCACTTTATCTTCTGAATAATACAGTCTTACATAATTACTGTTTAACTCTTATAATGTACACTATTATAACTTTCTCTGAATAACATTATTTTTCAAAGGTATCTGTTTATTACTTAACATAAAAAATTGTTTTTATTATTTTTAGTTTTCCATTATTCTTTAATATGGTATTACATTTGTTTTTGAAAAAAACATTTTCACAGGAAGCAGAAGTATGCTGAAAAAGGCATACAAGGAGATATACGATATACCAGAGAAAAACCATTCAAAAGTGATGTTTGTAATTGAATGAACTCTCGTGCAAACGAGAAAAATTAATTCAACCAACCGTATAACTAACAGAAAAAGAAATTAGGTACTTATATCTATATAAATATATAACAAAATATCCATAAAAATATAGGCTGACAGGCTGACAGATCAGCTCCACTAAAAATGTTTTTTATGTACAATATTTATCGATTATAGTAACCTACCTAATAGTAAGATTATACTCAAAACCAAATATATAGGAGTTCCTAGGTTTTTTTTTAAATTTATTTTATTAATCTAGGCTTAATAAATAAATAAATTACACAACTTACAATTATTATCAGTTATTTTTCTATATATTTCATCGAACTCAAATGAATCAATGCCCTTAACATTGTTATCATTACAGACATTAAAAAAAAAATGTATATAATAGAAGTTGAAATACAATTTTAAATGTTAATTATTTGTTTTAGACATTTCTATTTTAATAAATCTAAACAACAAAGATAATGTAACCAAAATAACACTAAAAATATTCATATAAATGTAAACCTTGTTAAGCAAATTTGAATCCTCTGTCCTTGTAAGATACTTGACCAGTTCGAATTAAATTTTCTCGGCGGTCCTTAAATGAAAAATCGATTGTTTAAATATTTTCATTGAAATTAATAATAATTAAATATCTAAATTAATACTTACACGTTCTTTTTTTATGAAATAAGTCAGACTAACGTATGGTACTATTATCATCAATACACCTAAAAGTGACGTCTTAGGTGTAGGTCTGAAAAATTCATGTTGTGTTGCTTTCAGAGACATGTATCTTTGAATACCGACATCAAACTAAAAATAAAGAATAACAAAATACTAATAGCAATTACAATTTAAGAAATATTGTATGAATACTGAATACATACCAAAGTTCCACCTTCCATTTTTATGTTTCGGTAAGGGTTTGATGAATGCTTTATATATTCTTGAGCAATAGCTTTTCGTAATTCATTTTTTTTCCGAATTATTTCGGGATCAGTTATAGTTTTATAAGGAGCCGCGTGGGCCATTTTAAATTTCCTAATCCGACGTCCGAAATATATAAAATGTTTTTAAAGAAACTATTAAATTGTGTAAAATTATTGTATTAACTTTGAGAAAATATTAAGTTTTCCTTTTATCAGTTAATATTTTTTATTTTATCAAATCACCTTTAAAACATTGTGACCAACATTGGGATTTGGAGATAGAACATTCAAGTGAAAATGTTGTGTTAACGTTTTGAAATTTAAACTATTCACGGGGGAAATTATATTTAAAATAAATTTATATAATATAATATGACATAATATTATACATAAAATAATTGATGTACTATTAAATTAAACATAATGTGTTCGATAATAATGTAACAATATAAATGTATTATTAAGTTCTTCGATAAAAATCATATCAAATGTAAAGATATTTGAATAATAATAATTATTTATCATTTTGTTGAATTCAATTATAACATATCCAAGTATATGATAAACATTAGTAAATATATTATTAAAGTTGCTTAATCAATGATAATTACATTCGGCGCTAACTGACAACAAAGCAGTTACCTTCTTTCTCCTTTTAACCAAGTTAGTTCTAAAACATTATAACTGTTTATTTTGCTTATAAGTTATATATGTATAACCATAGTTCTTAAACAAAAATAGACCGAATTACAACTATTGTTTAACAACTTTTGATTTAAATTATTATTTATTAATTGTGTGATTTATGGGCAGTATTCCTTTACAGACTATGAGATAACAAAAATCAAATAGGTACCTACACAGAATAAAATATTAAAATAGGTACATAATATTACTTGCTTAACTTAGCATGCTTACTTGAAAATGTACTTATTTTACATTGTGAAGTTGGAAGTAAATAATATTGAAGATTTTATATCATAGTGAATTTTAAATTAAAAGAATCTTTTAGGTAAGTAGTTATGTAGCTCTATAATAACTCAAAACACAAGAAAACAGTATACATTCTGATAGAACAAGGAAAATTATTTTAAAATTTTAATACAAATTACAAAGCAATGTAACAATTATTTAGTATTTAGTAATCAAATTGATTTGTAATACTAAATTGTAAAAAATCGTCTATAATCTATATACAAAGAAATTAAATTATTTTCTTAATAGCAGCAGCTAGCTGCAATAACACCTACAAGACAAATTAAAATTCAAAATAAATAATATTATAGATATAAAAATAAAATAAGAAGCTTATAATATAACACTTAAGTTATTACAATATTTCATTAAATAGGTACTGTTTTTGATATATTTTGTGTGGTATTTGTTCAAAGATAAAAACAAGTTAATTTATAATTTAATAATAAAGTATTAGTCAAAAAGCATAACTTATTATACACTTGTTTCTAATGTAACAAAATATTCTATCAAAATATAAATACTTTAATGTAAGCAGAATAACATAATACTTATACTATTTTACATTATGATTTTTTTTGTACGTGATTTTTCAGAAGCTCTAATACATCATTGTTAAATTCTTGTGGGGCCGGTTTAGATCCAATAGACCAAGCATATAAATCCCATTCGTCAAATTTACTGTTAATCAATGCATCATACTTTTGTAACTGTTCACAATTGAATGTTTTTAAATATTTGTCTGCAAATGTAGTAAAGATTATACAATTTTCTAATATTCCCCTTTTTCTAGATTGATATATAAGACGGCTTCTCATCAAATCTAGTTCGGAATCTGAAGATATTTTACTATTACCAGTTAAAGCATAACTGCGATTCTTGATACCCATTAAAGGAGAATTCCTCTGTAATTATAAAATAAATAATTGTTTTTAATGTTTTGGTTGTATTTATAAAATATGAATAATCGATAAAACCAGTATACAAACCATCAAGGAATATTTAAAAAAATGAACAGTTTTATTTAGCATATTACTTGATACTTCTTTTTTCTTGATTTGATAGTTATTGTGCTCAATCTTTCAATTATTTACTGATTTTTACAATAATTTTATTTTATGAATAACACAGATTAAAAATATATATTTAGTTTATTTGTAGGACATAGTTTACTTAACATTGGCATTTACTGTAACGTTATCTTTATCTGAATTATGAAGGTGACACATATGATATCACTTATCAATATGATTACTACCATCATTTTTTATAGAATAGACCACGTAGTGCGTAGAACTTTTATAGATAATATAATATACTGTCTAAGATGTAGTAACATCCAAATTCTAAGGTGGATCCACCTTAAATCTTAATATAGTTTAAAATATTTAAGTATATCTTTAATCGCGAGTAACATAGAATATTATCATAGATCAGTGTATTAATTCTATGAATTACTATAACTAGATAGTACAATTGATTTTGAATTTACTAAATATCTTGCATAGCAGTACATGATTTATTCAATTTTAAAGTTTTGATTATAATTGTTTTATGCCCAGATTTTTCATAAAGCTCAGAAATCACTTCGATTGACGCTCAGTCTTTCTCAACAATCAATAATTAGTAACATATCAAAACAAATAATATTCATTATGTTCATAATTGAATGATAGAATAATCATGTATGTTGTGTCATCGCACATTAAACATGTATTTGACCAGTGCTAAATTAATTATACATGGATCATCCTTTTTATTCATAATTGTTTTGGCATAGTATAGAAGTATAGATTACAGACTAACAGATTTGAACATTCTTGGAAACACTGGTCATTTCCAAAAAGCTCAAATTTAATGTATGATTAATTTTATACATAAAAAAAAACCACTGTTATTGGTTTAATTTACACTTGGTAGTGAACAAAAAAAAAAAAACTTGAAAAGTGGTAACTTGTGCAACAAATTGCTATTAAAAAAAATTCATATTACAATACTATAAAATAGTTACAAATATTTTATATTTTATATTTTTATGTAAGATAATTTGCTATGATCAATATTATTTTCGTCTTCTACAGTAATCATATCTACATCATTTTCTTGTTCTTCTTCGAGTAATTTTTCTTCAGTTAACAAACGTTGTTTTAGTCCTGAAACAAAAGTAACAAATAAATATTTTTTGACTAATTTAAACATTTTTCATTTATTAAATACAAGAATAATTCCATAATTTTAGATTTTTTTTTGTTTCTAATTAATTGGTAATCAATACTAAATAAAATCTTATAAATAAAGAATCTTGACATATTTTACTAATAAAATGGTATTGCGAATAAAATGTTTTTAACTAGGTATATTTTTCAGACATTTTTGTTATTAATTTTTAGAGGTATTCATGCATATTTATATTAATATTTCAGTTTAGAAAAACTACAATTCAACATTTACACAAATTATTAACATCATCAAGATTTATGTTTTTTATGCAGAACTAATAGATAATTTATGTTTTATTTTTAAAATGAACATGCTGTCAATCATGTCATTGGTACTATTATCATTTGATGTTTAATTTCAGCTCTAAGTAAACTAATTAATCTTTTTTTAATTCCTTAAAATAGATATGTGTATGTTAATATAAATAAAATATGAGATTGTGATAAATTTTAAATAAGTTCTTATATTACCTGCAGCAGGTGATCTAATTAGTGACATATCTCTTTGGACTTCTCTGATATCTCTGTGCTGTTCAACTTCACGTCCTTTACGTAATCGCTGCATTACATATGTAGATTGACGTTTCTTTTGAATTTCAGTGACTTTTTTGATTGCTTCCACTATTCAAATAAATATTATTAAATTCAATTAATCACAAATGTTGTTATTTATTATTTGAAGTTATTTCATAACTATATTTATTGTATACAATTTACTTACTAGACATTTGCCAAAATTCTCTGTCATATTTCATGGGAATGTTACGTCTCTTTTCAATTTCAAATGATGGATCAACAGCTAATTCTTTACCAACAGCCTTGCGGTAGGCTTTAGTCCATCGTACACGCCTCGGGTTCTTCTTCTTTTGGAAGGCTCTGTGACATTTAGAGCGACAAAATTTAAATACCTAAACATAATAAAGTTGTGAATAAATAGAGTACGAAATTACTGTTAAATATTTCATGTATTTGACATACTTTACAATCATTTCTTACGAAGTGCATTCCATGTCCTGGGTATATTTTAGACGAACAAAAATAACAAGTGTCAATACGCATTGTATTGACTTGCGAAGTGGATATTAATACGTTTTACGTGAATCCATCAACCACACACTAGACAGTATACTATACTGTAAAGTAAACTGTAGTTGTAGCTTAAAGAAACAAAATTGTATTTTATATTTTTTACAAAAATTTAAAATACAAATAAAATGCGCTATTGAGGGAATAGTGATAAGACTATAAGAGCTTACCACATGGCTTATTATTATACCAATGTCTCTCTCTTAGATAACTTCCACGAGTTTAGTATCAATGTTTTCAAATTTTCCGTAAATAATGAAAATATGATAGAGCCTCGTCAATAGTGCAGTGTAGCCAAGATATGCGTAAAGTTAACAATAAACAAGTAACACGTGAGTACTGTGACGGGGTACAGACTACAGATTTCCCGGTTTTTAACAACTGATAACAGCAAATTAGTCAAACTTCAAGAGAATAAAAAGAAAAAAAAAGCTCAACCTTTAAACTTAGTAATAATTGATATTTGATTCTTTTGATTCATTTTCAGCTTATGCATGACAGATGACACTGAGGACTAGCCTAACAGACTTGAAATATGAGACCCGGGCTCAATGCACCTGTGGCCAATCAAAATATGCGACTGAAATTCTTAGTGGCATTTTAAAATATAATTCGAAATCTATGGAAAAAATAGGCACTAATAAAAGATCATTTAATGTGTGAAGTGTTACTATTGTAGGTTGTGGTACTGTGATATTAAACATTACAGTTATAACAACAAGTGTTTTCAATGAATATAAAGAAAACCATATATTTATTTAAGGTTTAAAGAATCAAAAACATTTATGTAAATAATTTATCCAAGTTTCATTTTTGAACGCAATTCTGCTAATGTGATTAAAACAGCTTCCTCAGTTCTAATAGTTCTAGAACCTTGATTAGGACATGTATTTAAATAAATGTCAAATAAAGTAGATGGATTTTCTTCATCAATACTTTGATCAGCTTCTAATGCAGCTTCAAGTCCGTGAACCCCTCCAAAACAAATCAATGCATGTTTAAAACTGCTAAGTTGAGAATGATCTGTTTGATCAATATCAATGCCTTTATCAGATGTACCAATTTTTAAATCATATCCACCAGGATATGGGCACTTGGTAAATACTTCATTTATCGATTCAGCATTCCTTACTGTGTAACCCCAGTAAATACCAGATTCATTTTTGGGAGTACTCGGGGCGACAACAATACCTTTTTGACGTTTAGAGTCATCTGAGTTTGGTATTAGTTTGACAGTAACTCGTACAAATGGCTGAAGACATTTGTCAACTAGTACATGTTTTCTAAGACCAACATCGACATTACAGCCTTTACCTTTTTTTGGTGGAAGTGTCGACACCACTCCTTCTCTGTAAATTAAAAAACAATAGATTTAATATTTTTTATATAATATCTATTAATTATTTACAGAAACATCTGAAGCAAAAGTTTATCCTAGTTATATTTTATTGAATATTCAAATATTTAATTTTTCTAGTATCATTGGATAGTTTAAAATGATAGCCGATATCTATAACTTGAAATGTTGTAAATAATAACTGTACATGTCTGCACAAACCGATGAACTTGGTATACTTTTACCAATTGAGATAAATTTCTTAATTTATCATAATGTATAGATTTATATTATTTCTAGGAGAATACTTAACTCTTATTAAAAAAAAAAAAATCAAAAAACATACCGAAATGGAACATTGTCTTCTTGTCTAAAATGATGAGGTGCATCTAGTGGATTCAATACTCCAGTGTATTTTAAAAAGTTATGAATTGGAAATAATATTCTTCTCAAATATTGAGGGCATTCCAGGTATTGTAAAATAATAGCCAATTGTTTGCATGTCTTTGAACCACCTTCAGTTTTTTTATTGGAAACCATTACATTAGTCTGTTCTCCCACATCATCAAAAACTATGATCTAATAAAAAGTAAATAGTAAAGAAATGTTTGAAAATAAATTAATAAAAATGTAAGAACACAAACCTCATCAATTTTATAAATACATGCAGCTCTTGCAATTTGTCCGGCCAGATACGTTCTGAATTCTGGAGATTGTGCATTATCTAAAATGGACCCGGGCACAGCTATGGAGACAGTAGGCAACTGTCGTACTTTAGACGGCTTAACTTTGTCACTGGTTTCAGTAATTTTTGAACTTTCAACATCATTATTTATTGTTACCTCAACTTTTTCCGCTTCTGTTATTTCTGAGTGTTTTTTTTTCTTTTTAATAGTTTTTATTACCTCTTCAGTTTTTAAGTCTTCATCTATTTCAACAACTTCTTGAAGTTTTTTTTTTTTTTTTACTCTTATCAACATTTTGGTTCTTACGTTTTTTATTACTTTTGATTATATTATTGTCGTTGCTTTCGGTTTCAAATGATGCCATTCCACGTCTTACAATTTGAAGATTTCTTTTAACTGAATTTGATTTAAACTAGAAATAATTTAATATTATATTATTATGTACTTGGAATTTATTGTCACGTGTTATTATTATCAATATAACTTCAGATGCTACCATAGAATTCTGTGATACTACTATCATAGACGCATTTAATCACCATCATCCAGTGTTGAATCCAGACAATTTCTCTGAGAGGGGAGCTCACTTTTTTTTTCATTGGATAATAGTGAATAGTGATACATTTTAGTATTAAAGAAATATATTTATTAATCATTATTATTAATTAATAATTATTAAAATTTACAATTTAGACATTAGGTGCAGTAATCGTGACGAGAATTATACATTTGTGTATTTAATAAATAGCACAGTATATTATACCGTGATAAATAGGTACACTTTGTTAAAAATTGTATTTGACAGGGAGTGCGAAAGAAATTTCAGAGGAGGTAGACGAATGTCATCCCTGAAGTGTACCTGGATTCAACACTGCCATCACTGTCTAGATTAGTGGAATAAGCAGTTATTTTTTTGGATTGGTAACAAAAATAAATTAAACTGCGTTTAATGTTTATAGAATCTATCTATTTCTAACTTATCTGAGAATGTAATATACTATTATGTATCTAATGTCTATTCAGGTAACAGTAAACAAAAATACTATTCCGAGTTAAAGTTTTTAATGTCGTAAACAAAACTACTCTGACATTTTATTTCTATGTAATCCATTCAAAATCGATAATATTTATTTATAATTGTATTTTCACAAACGTGAGCACGGGTTAGGATCCCAAAAACTAAGGAAGATATTTTATGTATTGTTTTGTTTTATAGAACAATATGACAAATTATAAACAAAGTTAATTTTTATTTTAAATGACCACATAAAGAAAAAAGTAATACAAAGTCAAATTGTAATAATAATTTCATAAAAAAGTCCACTTTTTGTAAAAATACAAATTTTACAGAGTCTTCATGACATATAATATATCGATATCGATATAGATATTTTCAAAATAATATTTTGCACAGTTCCATAAAAAATATATGCCTTAATGTAAACTTAATACTTGACAAATTAAACGATAATAATTGTTTGTAAATATATTTCATTTGGTTTAAACATAAAGCATACATACATTATAATAATTTTTAATATAAAAATTCATCACTAAGAGTTTATGAATACTTAAACAAATACAGATCGTTAAATGTTTATTAAAAAATGTATCTAACAAATGAATTTGTTATTGGTGTTTCATTTGGCTTTATAAGTATCGTCGGAATGCATAAAATACGCTATTATGTATCAAAATACTGCGAGTCCAACTATTCATCTGACGATGATTGTAACCAGGAAAGGAAAGAAGATTTAGAGGTAAACAAAATAAAACATATAATATATGTTTAGGATTAATTTTGGTGACATGCCGACTTTAAAATTTCCTTTGTCTAGATAAGTTTCCTAACTTCCAATATTCCGTAAAAATTAAATGTCTTTCATTTTCAGATAATTGTTTTGTATGTAACCTAACCATCAATTTTGTGGTTTATTATTATTTATTTTACATTATATTTTCCGACATTCAATAGTAAAATCTGTGAATATAAAAATACATTAACTACAAACTTTTAAAATAACATAGGTAGGTAGGTAAATATATTAAAAGCAATACAATGTATAATAATAATGTATTTTACATCGTAATACGAACTAAAAAGTAATATTATCCATTTCTATTGTTAGGATGACGAGGATGATGAATTTTTTGATGTAGAAACTGGAAGTGAACTTTTTAATATCAATATAAACATGTCTGATAATATTTTGGAAATATTTAATAAAATAATTGAAAACAAATTATTTCTAGAACAGAAATTTAAAACATTAGAAGGTTAGTTTTTTAAAAAAAATTCAAATTAATATATTGTAAAATACTTTTTGATTAAAAAAAGTATTTAAAAGTTTTTATAATTCAATTCTTTTCAGAACTGTGTAGAGGTGAAAAAGAGAAAAGAGCATCTATAGAATTACAAGTATTAAATATATATTGTTTAAACAATCTATTGATATTAATGAATGGTTTTAAATTAATTAATTAGTTGCAAGATTTTGAAAAACGTTGCCTAATTAACTTAGCATAAACACGTGAAGTTATGGGTATGCGTGAATTATTGGACGCTGCAGTTCAGAAACTACAAACGATAGTAGAGAAGCAACAATCAATAATTGAAAAAAAGAATAGTTGTGATGAAGAAGGTTTAAATGAAAAGATTAAAGAATTAGAAGGTTAGTTTTTTATGTATCTATTTAAATTAAAATAAATTGTAAACAATTTTTTAATTAAAAATATCTCATAAAATTTAATATTTTCTAGAATTGTATAGAGATGAAGAACAAATCAATGCATCAAAAAAACTACAAGTATTAAACAATTACATTTTCAAAAATCTATTGAACAATAATCATATTGATATTAATAAATTAATTTTGATTTAATTGTCAGTTACACCGTTTTGAAGAATATTCCCTTATGAATTCAGCACAAACACGTGAAGTTACGGGTATGCATAAATTATCGGAGATTGTTCAGAAACTACAAAAGATTGTGGAGAAGCAGGAATTAATGATTGAAAAAAAGAAAAATTGTGATGAAGATGTGATGAGTTTAAAATTAGATATGACTACTGTTAAAAAAGATTTGAATACGTTGATCCCAAATATCAACAACCTTAGCACTCGGATAATGTTTATAGTAAGTAGTATAATACGCAGAGGTAATAAAATTTAAATTTTAAATTTAACTAATTATCAATTATCATTTAGGAAACATCGAAACTCTCAATAGCAAATGACGACAAAATTACGCTTTCGATGCCAATGATTGTATAACCTGTGTTTAATTATTCCTTATAATATGAATTAAAATAATTATTCGTTATAAATTATATTAATGATTGATTTAACTATATGTTGACCAGAGCAATTCATATTAACGCAACGATGAGTGCCAGATTATATCTAGGGCTAGGATTTATATGCGACAATATATTTATTTTGCATCTTCTGATTATTGCTTTTGTCCGTACTGTCTACGAATCATCTTATGATAAGATAAACAGTGGTGTTTTTATGTTGCATATTTTGGATAAAATGCATATTTTGAATAAAATTAATATTATTACATATTTTGACTATAAAAATGCGAAAAATACATGTTTTATGAAATATTTCGTTACTATATATACGTTTGAATGTTTGCTATATGAATAAAAATGGAAACAAATAAGTAGTTGCGTAAAACGAGTAATAAAAACAGAAACATGCCAGTTTATTTTTAAATTATTTCAGAATTATTTTTTTACTATTTAATAATTTACGAAAAAAAAATACATCATTGAAATCATTAAATAATTGTCTGGATGTATGCAAAAGAGTGCAAACCAAGTTCGAGTTCTAATTTATCAACCGAAACGTTTAATCCAAATTCGTATCATAGGTGTCTTAAAAATCAAGATTGAACATTATTTAACTGTTGATTCAGGCAATTCAGGTAAATGTGGTAAAAACTTTATACCTATTCAATATCTGAATGAACAAGTGAGCACAGTACTGGGTTTTCAAGTAAATAATATTGTTAGAGCCGCAACACTGCCGCAGTGCCGTCTAACAAATGATGGTATCTATATTTACACGTAACTTTTGATTTTTGAATAGATACGGAATTTATTAATATTAATACCGAAAATAATCAATTTATCAAGTGAAAGTTTGTGATTCATGTATCACGAATAGTTTAAATAGGTACTTAGTATTGTGATAAATTAATACATGCCATGAAAAAAAATAACTTCATATAATTACAATAAATTGCACTCGTCATTTTAATATCAATATAAACATTTTTTATTTGTGGACTGTGTTACGGTCTTACAGACGCAATCCCACAAAAACATTTGCAAGGTAGATAAATTATATAAGATATACATTATTTATTTAGTATCCACTTTGCTCCCAGAACAAGATATTCATATTTTTGATAATAGATAATATTATAGACAATTATTTTTATTACGTATCATTGTTACAGAGACGCAGAATAAATATTCTTAATTTGTGTTATTATGATGGACTTGTTAACACGGTTATAGATATTATAGTGCTTGTTAACCATCGTCATCAATACTTATTATCAATTTTAACGTTATCAAAATTGGTCCAACTGGTAAGTTTCAATTAATAATTTAATAAATAACAATTAACAATTATTCCATCCATTCATTTCGTTACGAAATAATTCTTTTATATTTTGTATTATTGTTATTGAAACATTTGAAACGTGTCTATTTTGTACACTCAACAGTTTATCAAATTGTTTGCGATGGCGGGATCTGCTCTGAGACGACTTATGGCTGAATATAAACGTATATTAAATACTTTATTTATGCATTAAAAATGTAAATTAGACAAATTTCTATCGAAACTCGTAATATTATTTATTCTATAGAGCTGACATTAAATCCACCAGAAGGGATCATTGCTGGACCAACCACTGAAGAAAATTATTTTGAGTGGGAAGCATTAATTACGTAAGTTATAATAGTGTCATCATGTTAACAAACAGCAAATTCGCAATATCTAAATCAATAATTTAACTATGAGTAGTGGGCCAGAAGGTACATGTTTTGAAGGTGGTGTTTTTCCGGCTAAGCTTATATTTCCACCTGACTATCCACTGAGTCCACCAAAAATGAGTTTTACTTGTGATATGTTTCATCCAAACAGTGAGTATAATTTGTGATGTATATATAATTGGTCCATTCCAAAATTGTGATACATTTATAAAAATGTCAGTGAACATTTTTGAATCAAGTAAGTGGTTACAATTAACTAAGTGTAATGTTTTTTTATTATAACATGTTGTTTTATTATGGTATCTGGTGCAATATTCATATTTTTATGACAATATAAAGGATATATATTTGATCTGTAAAATAAAGTAACAAGGTTGAGAGGTTTAATTGGAGTATAATTGAAGTTTATTTTAATTGATTTTTGTTTGTAGACAATATTATTCAGGTGTTTTACCTCTCTTCATTGCTTTAATAAACTCTAATTAAACAGATATTAAATATATTACAATTTTTTATTTAACCTGAAAGTTGACTAGATGAATGTAAAAGTTATTATACCAGTGTTAAAGAAGAATGATGCATATAAATAAATATACTTTTAAAATTTTAATCAACTTATAGGATAGATAGTAATAGAATTATGCTTTGTGATAATAGTTAAATGCAGATTTTTAAATTTTAGTTTATTCAGATGGGCGTGTATGTATTTCAATTCTCCACGCACCTGGGGATGACCCTATGGGCTATGAATCTAGTAATGAAAGATGGAGTCCTGTACAGAGCGTTGAAAAAATTCTTCTATCTGTTATTAGTATGCTTGCTGGTAATTATAAATAAACTGTTAACTTGTTTCATTATGTATTAATTTGAATTTTTCTTGTTCAGAGCCGAATGACGAAAGTGGGGCAAATGTCGATGCGGCTAAAATGTGGCGTGAGAATCGTGAAGAATTTAATAAAATAGCTGAAGAGTTGGTTAGGAAAACTTTAGGAATACCACCTAGTGAATGAGGTCAAGTAGGTAAAATAATTTAAGTGAAACATTTGGCTAGCTATGAACAATAATATTTGAATAATCACATGTATATACACTATTAAGTTAAATTTTGAAATATGAGTTGAGTTTTATATTTTATACATATTTATGTGTTAATCAATACTGGATTTTTATTTTAAATTTGGTTCAGTTTTTGAATGTTTACATATGGTGGCAACATAATAAATATAAATTACTTGCAGTTTATGAAATGGATTATTAATTTGTTTTTAATCCTCTAGACATCTATCCTTCAGCTTATCATGTTACAGATTAGTAAAATTTTTGTTTGCGATGAAAAAAAAAAAAACAAATTTAACTAGATAAAACATGTTGGAGTTTAATGTTTTTATTTTATTAAAATCATTATAACCATAAATTAGTATTATATAATCTACAAGTTACATATTTCACACAATAAGTTTTTGACTTATGCTTAATGCATATAGCTAAAAAAAAATATTTAGTCAAACACTTATATATTAATTATTAAAATAATAATAGAGTTAACTCTAAAATCACAATAAGTTACTTAAAAATAGGTAACAAAAAAGATATACACTTCTAAATAGGAAATAGAAATTAATATTAATTGTTTTTCTGAAACATTTATTCTTAAATATAAGGATAACATTAAAAAACAACACTATGAAATAATTATAATGTTTTAAGGCATGAATTAATTCTTATATAGTTTTTCTATTGGTTACGTAAAAAACAATATATTTATCATAGTATTTTGATATTTTATAAGAAATAATTGAGAATATATTAACTCATTAAGAATTATTATTATAAGAAAATTTTAATTTTTAAGTTAAGTAATAAACTGTATTTTAATATAGGTATACTAGAAACAATTTGGTTTTTAGATGTATATTGAAATTTAATATAAAATTGAATATAGCAATTTATTTACTGTTCAATGAATCAAAAACATTTTTATGATGCATTAATTTTTGTAATAGATTTTTTTTTTTTAATATGATGTGTATAAGGTCACGTATCAATAAAATTATTGATGAAGAATGATAAAAATGTTATATTTTCTGATATCTTCCTTTATTCATTTTCTTGTATTATTGCTGAATGTATTAATGAGCAAATACAATAATTGACACAACATTTTTACATTTTTTTAACAATATACAATTTTTTCCTTGTCACTTTAGGTAATAATTATTCAATTTAAATGATTAACCTTTAGATTAAATTGATTAACTAGTAGGAAAACAACAAAGTTAATACTACATTAAGTACAGGCCCTTATTACAAAATCAATACAATGTTAGTTGCTCAAAGTAAAAAAATAAATAATTGTACAAAATAAACTCAACTAAAAGTTTGTATAACAGGATTAAGCTAATCTGGTGTAAAGATTTTCAGATTAAAAAATAAATAAATAAAGGTTTAACATTAATTTAAGCTCTTAATATGCTTTTACATTATTAATTATTACACAATAATACTTGCTTTGTATAATAAAAATGTAGTTTGAATTATATATTGTTTCATGGTATTATTTTTTAATGTCATTTTAAATAGTTGAGTTGTCAAATTACCTAACTGTTACTATATAATGAAATATATGAATACACATGGTTATGACTGGTTTTAATAGTTACATTTTAAAATATATCTTGCTAAAAGTCAATATATTTGACAAAAAGTATTTATTTTTTTTTAATCAATAATATAAATTTTTGATGATAAATTAATAAATTTAAGGTGGTGTAAATGATATTAAATGTACAGCTGGAGTAGGAGTCGATGATTGGCTACTGTCAGAGCTGCCTAGTTGTTCACAATAATAATGAGGTGTATTTAAATAATCAATCAGTCGTCTGGGTAATGGCAATTTGTGGATCAAATCTCGTCGTACCATCTTCAAAATGACAAACCTTATAACATAAATACATTTTGTTTAACATAAATAACTCTTTATAAAATTTTATTAAATCAAACTCATCTTTTTTTTGTCTTGTTCTAATTATTACATATTTTAATTAAGGATTTACCTGGCCATATGTTGTAAGCTTTGAACTTGTTTAAAACGAGAAACAGGATGAAGTAATTGAACTCTCATTGGCCCAAGAACTGGACGTCTATGCAAAAAGAACAAATATCTTCCACTGCGCGAATGTTCTACTGCGTTTTCAACGAATTCAACAATTGTGTGACTTTTAAATTTTGTACAGCTACCAAAACTAAAATTTCCTATAACCAAAAATGAAACATGAAAATAATATTTTTATTAATTTTATAATTATTATTACCTTGATCATGCTCAATTCTGACATGTCGAACAAAACCATTCAATTTAAATGTCAATGAAAATATATAATGATCATCACTACTGTCACGTACAATAAACGATCCATCGGGTTCATTTGACAGTATTTTTTCAGCAGTTTCTCCCGATGTTGGACCCCAATACCATCCATACTAAAATTATTTTGATATATATAAAATAAAAAATATGATTTAACTATATTAAAATTTTGGCAAATCTTACATCTTTCACTTTTTCAATGCTAGTTGCAAAGTCCATACTAGTCTCACGTTCATATGTATCTCTGGGCCCATCATCAGGTACAGGTGGAAGTGCACGATTTTCAAACGTTGCCTCTTTAGTTACATCTAAAAGAACTACAGTATCTGTTGGGTTCAATTCAGGGTCCAAGTCTGTTGATGTACTTTTACGTGAACGAAAAATATTACAAAACGTTTGTTTTAAACTAAAAGAAAAGTTGGATTTTGTTGATGAAACAAATGGAGATGAACAAAAGATTTTTCTTGTTGAATGACTAGAACTATGACCACCAATATCTTCTGCAGTGCTATTGTCCTTAGTTTTCTTATGTTTAATATTCACCATAAATGATTTTTTCCTAATTTTGCATTTAGACAATGATATTTTGTTAACACAATTTTCTTTGTTGTGATCATTTTGTACATCATTGCATTTTGATATATTTGCAACTTCAGGTTTGCTACACTCTTCTGTATTACTATAAATATTGTGAAGAATTGTTCGTACATCTTTGACAGTCATGTGTATGGGCTCTTGAACATTGACACATTTTTCTCCTGATCTGAGTTAGAAAACAATTATTTAAAATTAAATAATATTTAAATGCTAGGTTCATGATACTTACTTTTTACTAAGTGGTATGGAATGGCACTGATCACGAAATTTTCTTTTTTTTCTCAATGGTCGCCGAAAAGCGACATTGAATGGGGAACTATCGATTGGTAATGTATATGTATCACTATTAAGAGCATCATGTGAAACAGCAGAAGATATAAAATTAGAATCATCTGAAGAAACTACATTAAATAAAGAGTTATGAGATGATGAAATAGTTGATAATAAAGAATTGTTTGATCCATTTGGTAAGCGATAATTTGTTTTCCAATAAATACCTAAATTATGATACGGTTTTTGTTGCTTAAAGTGCCTAAAACAAAACAAAATGCATATTATTAATTATAATATTATGTATGAAATATACAATATCTATATAAAAAATATTATTACCTAGTATCGTACAATGGATCCAAGTGTTTCAGCGAATCATTGATCAATGACTTTATAAAACCTTCTGCATATTGTTCAACACGAATCATACATTCATTAGTATAGACAGGCGAACAAATATGTCTGCATTGATTGTCTTTGAATTCAAATGGAGGAGAGTAAACATTAATAGAATTTGTATGGTCTTGAAATTCAAGAGGAGGCTGAATTTGATTCTCTGATTTTTGAACACTAGGATATTTCTTTAATGTATTAAATTGTTCTGTATATGATGTGTCAGAATCGTCGATTAGAGAATCCTCTTGACTTAATGATAACTCATCATCACATTCTTTACACTATAAATTAAAAATACTGAATAATTTTAAGTAATTATACACTAAACATAAATATCTATGTTTGAAATTTTATAGAAAATACCAAATTATTATATAATAGTTAAAAAATATTAACAGTTTTAAATTTTATGTAATGGCTTAGAATTTTGATAAAGTGACAAGTAATAAACAATATAAAGTAACTATTATTAAATAGAGTACACATTTATTTTAAAGTTGTAAAATGCACTTATTTTTTACTTTAAATTATTTATTAAATTCATTAATAATTTAATAATATACAATATTATAATTAGAATAATATATGTAGTTCTATACAATACAAATAATAAGTAAACTTAAAATTGTTATAATTATTTTATTAGTCACAATTTTTGTAAATCAGTAAAAGACTAATTGTTGATGTTAAACGCTAAAAAAACAGTCAAGTTTAATAGTATTATATAATAGGCCTATAAAAACTTATCGGTTATTGGTGTATACTAATATGATATAATAATTATACTAGTATGACCTAACTCATAATAAAGTTGGAAATTACTGAAAAAATGTAGATTAAATACATAATTTATTTAATTTTATTCAGGGATATTGAAAAAATGTACTGGAATTACAACTTATAAAAGATGGCGAAGATCATGTAAAATAAACAAAGCAAACAGCAAACTTAGTAGAGTATTAAAAAAAAATAGTAAAAATATCTAGTAAACATAGCTTGGTTAAGATTTTAATTGAATTTGTTTAAAATTTTATTACAAAACTAATAGGTCTTTGTAGAAGTTCACTTCAATTTATTACAGATTAATTTATATTTTAATCATTTAGGTAATGTTAGCAGTTGCTTTATTACTAAGGTTGATATATATATATTGTATACCACCTTGTTTATTACTGTAATTCAATTATTATTATTATTATTATTATTAAAAATAATCATAAAAATAACTTTAAGCGTTTTAAGTTAATATAAATAATAGTTTAACAATAATATCAAATACATGAATTGTACTAATGATTATCATGAATGTAACTAATTAAACAATATAGTACTTTATTTGGTAGCTAATAATATTTAACATAAAAAAATTAAAATATTACTTAATATGCTAGTTGAAAGGTAATGAAATGAAACGTTAGTTGTGTGCAATGAATAAATATAATATCTACACAACATTATTTAATGATAATATTATAGCCATATAAAAACTTACTTTGAATTGTGGTGAATGCTTGTTAGAACTGCTACTGGCAGAACTGTTTGAAAACGAACCATTGACCAAAAGACCGCTGTCGTCTTCACTGAGCAAAAGCACATCAGATGTTGGCGAATCCATCCCATATTAAAGTTCAGCAGCAAATCAACCATGACGCCAACAACCTAACAAGGGATGAAAGGCGATTAAAAGAGTAAGTTCAACTTGACAAATGTATCGATTATTGTTTGTAAACATTTAATCAATAGCATTTAATTCTTACTTTTGGTGATGAAGCCAAACTGTTGTCCACATATTTAGTTCTTTTGCACGCAATATCGAATTCGGTACGTACTAAAATGTATCACAGTATTCTTAATTTCGACTAATTATTCTCTAAACGATTAAAATTTAAAAGTACTGTGATTTAAAGTAAAATTTCTAAGAAAGAAGATGTTTTCTATTAGTATTTACCATTAATTCTCAAATAAAGCTTATCAAGATAACACCGTAGTACCATACCTAAACGTAGTTTTAACAACAGAACTGAACAGTGGATAGTCAGTGGTTCTCATTTCTCAAAATGTATATTTCCATTTTCCGGCGGTGTTATCAGTATCTTTTGTAAAATAAGTATCCTCATGAAGACTACATGATTATCTCTATAGTCGTCATGATAGTATCCATATTATCATCACCTAATAATAATAATAATAATAATAATAAACACTTATTACAGTACATTTATATTAATTGATATTTTTTATTATTATAATTTATTGTTTGTATTCTTCTGCTATCTGCTACTATGTTTTTCGACTATACAATTTAAGCAATTAATAATAAATCTGTACAAATCATAAATTATTTAATGTAATAATTTACTATAAATTAACCCATTACAGGATGTTTGGGTTATAAATTAACTGGGTAATGGGTAGGTATTACAACAAATTAAAACGTAACTTGATTCACTATTATTTAAAAAAAAAAAATGAATATTTTTTCTATTTTTCAGTAGGTAGATAAAAAAATTTTTTTGTAGTTTGAATTTAATTTAAACTTTTTATATACTTCATTGATATGGAGAACGGTGACAATGGTATAAATGGTTGTAGAAAAGTAGCATTAATTACAGGAATCACTGGGCAGGTACATAAATTATATAAGTATATTTATTGTGAATATATTATTAATTGTTTTAATTGTAGGATGGATCATACTTAGCCGAGTTATTGCTAGATAAAGGATATGAAGTTCATGGTATTATACGGCGTTCAAGCACTTTTAACACTGGTCGTATAGAACATCTCTACTTAGATCCTAAATCACATATGGAAGGCAAAATGAAACTTCACTATGGTGACATGACCGATAGTAGTTGTCTAGTGAAAATTATAGGAATGGTGAAACCTACTGAAGTTTATAATTTAGCTGCTCAAAGTCATGTAAAGGTAGGTTGTTTAAAATAATTAGATATCTTGTGATTTTTGTTTATATTAATAATTTTATTTTAGATTTCATTTGAACTAAGTGAATATACAGCTGAAGTAGATGGTGTTGGGACTCTCAGGTTACTAGATGCCATTAGAGCATGTCAGTTAGAAAACAATGTACGTTTTTATCAAGCTTCTACTTCAGAATTATATGGAAAAGTTGTCGAAATACCACAAAAAGAAACTACTCCGTTTTACCCTAGATCTCCATATGGTATTATTTCGTATTAATGACTACATTTTTAGATTAAAATAATATTTGGCTTTGTTTTTTGCAAAGTGTAATTCCTGATTATTAACAATAGTTAAATGTATTTAAAATGTTTAGCATGTGCCAAATTATATGCTTATTGGATTGTAACAAACTATCGAGAGGCATACAATATGTATGCTTGCAATGGAATTCTGTTTAACCATGAAAGTCCAAGAAGAGGAGAAAACTTTGTAACTAGAAAAATTACCAGATCAGTAGCAAAAATAGCAATTGGTTCATTAGATTGTATACAACTAGGAAACTTAGATTCTAAGAGAGACTGGGGTCATGCCAAAGATTATGTTGAAGTAAGATATTTATTTTATATAATGAAACTAGATATCTGCGGCCATTATGTATAGATTTACAAAATATTTTTATATATATTTTATTTTATATTATTAAGAATAAATATTCCTATCCAGTCTTCGACAAAGTACCTGGGCATAATTTTAGACAAAAAATTGACATGGTCATACCACACAAAATCTAAACGTAAACAAGCAAACATCCGGCTACATTTACTTCATCCCATTCTCAAATCTAAGATTTGCCTAGCAAATAAAATGCTCATTTACAAAAGTTTGATCAGACCAGTTTGGTCGTATGAAATATAAATATGGGGACCTATCAAACTATCTAACATTAGACCATTCCAATCAATAGCTCTAAGAATCATCACAAATGCTCCCTGGTCTTAACAAATTAAAATTTTCATAAAGACCTTCAACTACCAACTGTTAAAGAACTAGCAACTAAACACTACAAAAAATTCCACAACAAACTAAAAGATCACCTTAATCTACTAATTCATCAAATGTCCACCACAAAAATTTTAAATAATATCACCCGCCGTTATAACAGGGACTGGCCCCGTGATCTACTAGATTCTGTGTTATTGTAATACGGGTGTTAATAAGAAAAAAAAAAAACCGTAAATGATAAATATTAAGTAATATTGTAGGTGTGGTCAGTGGGCCACTTCCTATTCAAGTTTTCATGTCACTGTTGTACTTTTATTATCTAAATTGCTTATTGTGTAACGTTTCACAGATTTTAATTTTTTTAAATCAATAAAAAAAAAGAAAAAAAAAAGAGTAAATTATATATTTTTCATAGTGTTAAATAGTTAATATTTGATAATTTATTGTATTTTTATTTTTTAAAGGCAATGTGGTTAATGTTACAACAGAACGTACCCCAAGATTTTGTGATTGCTACTGGTGAAATGCACAGTATTAGAGAATTTGTAGAAAAAGCATTTAAACACATTGGCAAAACAATCATTTGGGAAGGAAAAGGGTTAAATGAAGTGGGGAAAGAAGAATCTACCAATGTTATACGTGTTAAAGTGAATGCTAAATATTTTCGTCCAACAGAAGTTGTAAGTAGATTATTTTAATATATTGATTCTATTTTACAAATACAATTTTTTAAAATTTAAAATTTATTATTTTAATATTTTATTCTATTTTTTGAATAATGTATCATAAATTAATTATAATTAAAAACTGGGATTAAAAAAAATCAAAAATTAATTAGTATTATTCAGTAAACATCATACAATTGTGTTGCATTATAGTTGTTTCTGATAATGGTGTCAAAATAAGGGATTTTAAAATAAATTTTCTTTAAAAGTTCAAAGTAATAAATTTGATTGCTTAATAGTTCAAATAGAAAACTTAAATCAACAAAAGTTTTCTTTAAAATAACTTTAATGTTTGTCTAGTTTTTATATGTGGATAAGTGTCGGATATTGTTGAATACTTTGTGAACATATTTTATTTTTTTTGTGATCACAGTTATATAGTTAATATTTATCACACAAAATAGATTTATGTACTAAATGTATCAGCAATGTTTATTCTAAATTTAATAGTATACAATTTATCTTTGATATCCTCGGTGTAGGAGTTTTTCTATTATTATTTTTTTATGTTTACTAATGTTGTATGATAGGACTGTATGCATCAATTGAGAATTTACTGGATTATTATAATCATATGGCATGCATCTACTACCATACTATAATATTTACGTATTATAAAATAAATAAATAAATAGATATGTATAATCAATTTATATATTAATACGATTTATTGGCATGAGATTAATAATATTAATATATAATAACATAGGTGTATTATATACAGAATTATTTATAAGTATATTTCACTGAAATCTTTTTGGTTGAAAAATTCATTCAGTTTAGTATAGAAAGACGTATATATTTTTTTTTCTTGAATAAAAAACTATTTTTAATTAACAAATATGATAATCATTAATTAATTGACAATTATTTTAATAATTTTATAAAAATGTGATACAAGTATCACAAGAGCTAAATAGCCTTTGAAGTTGAAGAAAATAAAACAATAATATATTATTTTTTATTTAATATTTCTTTAGGTTATTATTTTATATTTTCAGTGGAATCAGGAATGTATTGTTTTAAAATGATATGTTTTTTTCTTACTACTATCTCATTTTTGGGCAGTAAAAATATTCAAATTTTTTTTTTTTTTGAGTGTGGTATTTGGTAGCAAATTCGATTTTAGTTGATACACTTTTGTTGGAGGGGGGAAAGAGAGGGTTAAAGTAAAAATTCTCCGGTACACTTTTCTTAACAATCAGAAATTTTTATATTAAACTAGTTTTTAACAAAATTGATTTATTTATTTAATGTTTTATAATCTAAAAATAAATAACTTTAGAAACTTGAAATTCTCATCAATTCATTAATCAATTTATATACATGGTAATATGGTATTTCAAAATATTTTTGAGCTATTTGCATGTAAATATAATTTTGATTTTTTTTTTAAAAAATTTATAAATTTATAAAAAATATTTGAATATTTATTTGTAGGTTGTTTATAAGTTGTTCAAATCAAATAAGTTCTCTATAAACCTAAGATTTGTAAATTGAAAACATGGTTCTTTATAGGGTTTTCAATTTTTATTAAAAATATATACTTCTACAAACAAATAAACTTAATTTTTTATAACTGTTCGAAGTTTAAACTCAACTTTTAAATATAATTGGTGATATTATAAATTGACTAACTATTTCTGCTCATCATATATCTTGTACAATGATAGATCATAGAATTCAAGTTTAACACATTTATTGCAGAGATTCACTAAACATCTGAGTGATACTCGCTTGCCTTCCATTTTATTCTTGATTTTTGTATGTTCACACAGTACACATATATTCACATAGTACAAAATTAATTTCATGTTTAAATATATTATTTTTTTTGATTGAGATGAATAAATATTATTTTAATTAGTTGAATTATATTTATATGTATTCTTAGTAATAATTTTAAGTAGAAAATTTATAAAAACATTGGTAGTTTGGTGAATTCTCAAACATTGCTGGTAGTATACTATTAATAATTACTTGTAGTTTTATTCTAATATAATATTTTATTTTATGCAATATTTAAGTGATTCTTATATAGACATATAGTTAATATGTGTGTTTAATTATAAAAAGTGATTGGTGGTTAAAATAATGTTATACCTCTTTTTTTTTTATTTTTTTTTTCTCAGAACATAATTTAAGTATGATTAGAATAAATATTAAAATGTGAATTATATTATTTATGACTACCCTACTGATAATATCTGCCCACACTTATCTGATAACAATAAATTATAGATACATTTTCAGCAATTTGAGTACATGTTTATGTATTATTATTTACTGTTCTATTGATTATTTCATAGTTAAAAATAATTATATTTTTGAATTTATGCAAAATATAGTTAAATAAAGGGTAGTTGAAAAATGTATTTCTTATTAATTAATTAATTAATATTTTGTTGATATTATTATTTCAAGAAGAATTTTAACAATCATAGTAATTTTAGACTGAAAATAGAGATAATATATTATAATTCAATTCAGAATTAAAAATCATGTTTAAATGTTTCTAGTATACTATCTTATAACAAACATGAATAAAATGTATTATTTTTTTCTTTATCTTCTTTTGTTCAAAATTTAAATTCAAATTATAATTTAATAAAACTTATCTTATTTTTATTTATTAGCTCATACAAGATGATTATTTTGTGGTTAACATTCAATATCTCAACAAATATTTATGTTTCTGAAAAAATATTTATTACATTATTTGAAGTCGTTATAAAACAACATTTCTTAATATTATTTTTAATTTTTTTTTTTTAATGATAACATTTTTAATCTTATATTCCGAAGCACTATCGTGTTTACTTTTTAGAGAATTTTAACGTAGAAATTCGAATTTTGAACGATTAGTTAGTTACAACTCATAAATATAGAAAGTTTAAGCAAAATATGAGCAGTGTAATGACAAATATTTTGTGAGATATTTAACTTCACTCATTTAAACCGTAATTAATTCGATTTTTATTTATCAATATTATCAGAAAATTACTTTGGGAAAACATTAAGGCATAGAAATAATTTGAATAAAATGTTTAATGATTTTAAGATATAAAACATGTGAATCAACATTTACAGTCTATAATTTTTTACATCATAAAAAAAAAAATGTTCTATAAAATAAAAGCAGAGGTAAATTACCCATGCATTTATTTTAATCAAATTTATATATAACTAATAAAATTTATTTTTTCAACATCTATATTTAGTATTTGTTATTCATATATGTATATCATACGTGATTAAATAATAAATTAAAAAATAAAATGGAAATATAATCAATTTATTTATATTTCATAGTTTTATATTTCTGATGTTATTTGTACTATGTATTGTGTATTGTTAGGTAGTAGTATATTTTGCCGGTGTTAATTTATAAATTATAAGTAGCCATTGGTAAATACTGGTAAGCACACTCCCCTTATTTTGCCAATGCAGGTAGGAATATGAAGTTAAAATGTTGTTGTTATTTAAAAATTTAAAAACTTAATTTTTTAAAACTTTAATACGGTTTTTTTTTTTTTAAATAGATAATAAAAATAGATTTTTATAATTATGTTGTTTTGTTATGTTTTTAAAATAAAATATTTTTAAAAATGTTTATAATTTTTGAAGTAATAAAATATGAGTGTTGAGTGTTAAGAAAATCACCCTCTATATTATATAGGTGTATAAAAAAATGTAAAATGGATATTATATTTTATATGCCAATAATATTTTCTTAATAATTTGATTTTTTTTTAGCTTTATTTAAAAAATATCAAAAATGTCGTAAAAATTATGTCATTAAATACTCCAGATAATATCTATGTTGATAGATTATGTATAAAAATTGTCTTATAGTGTAAAATTAAATTAATGTCAATTTTAAATTAAGTACTCGTATTATTACCTGTTTATGCAGGCATTGGGTATCTACCTAATAATGCTATATGATTTGTAGCATTCCAATAACTTTACGTTTGTTTTACTGATTGAGAATGTTTTATTTATTATAATTGATAATTAATAGTAGATAGTAAAATGTAAAATATTAGTGTTTTAGAAACTTTTAATAGTATACAAAATCAAATAGTTTAAAAAGTATGAAATAGTGAGTTTGACGTGCTGACTCGAAATAGCTTTGTATGCCCGTTTTTTTATTTTAATCAAAAATGTATTATTTTATTTTCTATTTAAATGATATTGGTTTGATATTTTGACCTTTTGTTAGGTTTGTTTTTTTACTTTTCAAGTAATGTTTCTAATTAATTTTAAAGACCTATAGGTCCAACTGACGCGGCTTCGGTGGTTGTTGTGCGTATCGTGTCACAACGTTTCATAGATTCAAATTTTTAAATATTATATCAATATAAATTTAAATTACAAATTTTTATATTAACAATTGTTATTAATTATTATTATATATCAATGAATATTTGTTTGAATAACTAATAGCATTTTATATGAAGGGTAGCGACCTTTGCAGGAGAGAGTAAGGGTTGGGGATTGGATAAAACTGCACGAAACTATACTGTTATTATCCACGATTATATTCTGTATTATTTTTTTTTACAGTATGGTAGATTTTTTTTTTTTGTATTGCATGTTTCAATTTATATAATTGAACAAGAAAAAATGAATTGTTTGCAAAGGTGTTCATCTCGTTCATTGTCTGTCTGGTGTATATGTATAGGTAGTGTAGAATGTTTGTGTTAGGCATGTGTTTATTCAAATAACATAATCGTTCGGTTTTTCAACAGCATAACAAATGAATATAATGTATACTTGTTTATTATTCCCCGGCAATATAAAAGAACATTAGCTTTGTTTACAATTTCTGCAATGTGGGGTCCCCGCTTGTCATTGTATATATGTATATATATATATATATATATATATATATATATATATATAATATATATATATATAAAAAACACATCCGCTGGGCATAAAATAACAAAGGCAATCGTCGTCGTATATAAATACACGTTATATTACGAATAGTATTATAATAATATATTTATTTTATCGATTTTGATAAAACCTTAGGCTTAATACTATGTTTAAAAATCAAAAACAAAAAAACTTATACGATTTCAGGAACTTTTACTGGGCGACGCAACTAAAGCCAAAACCGTACTCGGATGGGCCCCCAAAGTAAATTTCGAGGTAAACATCGATTGCACTTCGCAATCGATTTTTAATACGCTGATATTATTATAATATATTGTAATTCTCGCGTCATGTGAATATTGATTGTATTTTTCCAGCAACTGGTCTACGATATGATGGAAGCTGATCTAGCGCTCATGAAGAAAAATCCGTCGGCCTGAAATTCCTCACCCGTGCAATATTTATTTTACATTGTATTACCTATATAAACTATAAACCTCGACTTAGTGTGTGTATTTGGTTTAATGGTGATTTGTTATTATTGGATATATATATACATATTTTTTTTAGGATTTTAAGAGTATTATTTTGCATATTATTATACGTACCTAAATAATATTTATATTCTTGGACTGTGTTTGTCTTTAAACTTTTCGGGTTGGCGGCACACGTTTTGTTACTGGAGATCTATAGTATATATACTATATTAACTATAAAAGGAACTGGGAGCATTTATATATCGTGAATGTATTATGTTTTAACTTCCTGTGGTGTTTGACTCTACGCCGCCTTTTGTTTATTATATTTATTTATTTTCACTATTTAAAACGATTTTTACTTATACTAAAAACTAAAAACCACTACGTCTAATTGTGTTTTGTGCGTTAGTGCATCTATTTTGTATTTAATTATACGCTAATGGTTTGATCATTTTTTATTTTATTATAATGTTAAACTGTTTTAAATAATTTGATATAAATTTACAGATACATGTTCGTAACTGTTGGGGAGGAGGGGATTCAGGGGTCTGTATCTACTCTACATTTTTTAAAAGTAGAACAATTTTAATAGTAAATATTGACTAAATTTCAGTTACTGACTTGTATATATAGATAAATACCAGGTAACTTTTAATTGCGATTTTTAATTAAGAATACTTGAAATTTAATAATAAATTACAGTAGTTTTGATATAATAATAATATAATTATAATTTATACTATAATATTATGTACGGCACAAACCCAAAGATATATTATGTGTGGTATAATAATATACTATCAGAAAGATTTCATTTTTATTGTTATTTTTTTTTTTTTTATCACATATAATTTTATCTTTTATTATTATTTTTAAATAATGTTTTTTTTTGTTTTTTTCAGTTACCATTTTATTTTATTATGTTACAAGAAAATTAATACCTACTGTGAAAAAAAATGTAGAAAATATGGTACATTCCATAATATGTTTGTGTCTATATTACACAATGCATATTATATTCATATATATCTACACATTATATATTATATTTGATAAAATATTGATAGCTAATAAATTATTAGTAATAATTAATAACCATGTTTAATTAAATAACAGCATAAACATGATATATAATATTTTATATCTGTGTCAAAATAATGATATACTGATTACATTTACGTTTATTGTTATTTTCGATTTATACCTTATTTGCACTTATTATGTTAAAAAAATACTAAAATAATAATAATAATTTCAAAAATGTTGATTATGTGTTTTTAGTTTAATATATTATGTGGATAAACTTATTAAAATGATTCTGGTCAGATTTTTAAAAGAAATTATTTTATTTCATTTATGTCGACAATTGAAGTTTTAAAATTAAGCAAATCAAGTCATTATAAAACGAACTGTTGAAGTTTTTGAAGTCGTAAACTCGCAACGAAATAATAGATTATAAAATTAAAACATAAAGTCATTGGTTTTTGTATATTGGTATTTTTATAATTCATATTATGCATTATAATATGATAAATTAGGTATTAAAAACTATTACTTACTTATACATTTTTATAATATTTTATTTAAAAGTAGGGTTGCGGGGGAGGGGGTTAAGTGTGTGATTATTTAATTGAAATGATTTTTTTTTAAATTTTAAAAAAGTTTTAAGTATTTTAACCCTATAAACACTGAAGTTTTATTAGTGTTCCAATAATTTCATACACACCCTCCTTAAATTAAATACTAGTGGTACTTAAGCCTAGTCATGTTTTCCAAAATTTAAAAAGTTAGATATATGGTGAAAGTACAAAAATAAATGCCATTTTCCTTATACAGGGTCTATCAGAATAAACCCATGTTTTTCAAAATAATGCTACGCCAAATGTAATTGCAGTAAAAAAAAAAAAAATGATTATATCAAAAAATGCAGAAACATTGCAGTTTTTTTATAGTAATAAAATTTAGGTCCTGAAAATAATTTCAGTCATATGGCACCCTTGAACCGCAATTTAGAAATCCAGGCGCTTTCGACACGAGACCATTGCATCAATCAATATCTGTCCTGGAATTTCTCTCACAACTCGTTTGATCTCATTCTTTAATCCATCGAGAGGTCCAAGATTGTTTCGATAAACTTTTGATTTTAAGTGACTCCACCTGAAAAAAATCACATGTCAGGTCAGGGTAGCGATTGAGTTTTGGAATGTCCCCAAAGCTCGAAGTGAAACGTCTAGGGAATATTTTGCTAAGAATTTTTATTGAAGTACGAGTTGTGTTGTGATGTTACCCAATCTTTTCGAAACGTCGACGCTGAAGCTCAGGTAAAAAAAAATGGGCCAGAATTTCGGTATAACGCTCTGAGTTCGCAGTGGTCGATTACCTGTTGTACTCGAAAAAATAAGGCTAATAATTTGATTGACGTTATTTTCATACCCTAAATTCTATTACTATAAAAAACTGTATACGTTTCTGCATGTTTTGATACAACAATTACTTTCGGCGTAGTATCATTTTAAAAAACATGCATTTGTTCTCACGGACCAATAAAATCATTAAAATGTTCATATTTAATACCTATGATATAAGATCAACAGCAATATGTCACTATAATGTTTTAATTGGTAAATATAATACTTTAGAAACTTAAGAATAGATGGTTTTTTTGTGTACATATTTATCTTTTTTAGTATCTACCTGAAGGTGGCTAGTATAGGTCAAACCGCTGTGGCGTCATTTTAAGGACAGCAACAGGGTGTGTTCTCGACCATTTATTTCCCTACAGTTTTCCGTGGTTGAACCATCCTCCATTCTATATTCCACCCATGTATTGATAAATATGTTTATTCAATTGGCCTAATTAAAATACATATTATTTTAGGTAAATTGAGGTAAATAATTTTTTTGCACATTAACGTGTTTCGTATACATTTTTGTTCTAAATTATTTGTTGTTGTTTGTAGTATCCGATTGTATCATATAAACCGGTAGGATTAAAAACAAAACGTGAGACAGATAAAATACCGGAAAACTAAAAAGTAAAATATTGTACAACCTTGCACGTCCAATTGATAATTAAATATGAAAAAAAAAAATCGCATAGTTTAATTTCCATCGTTGACCTTATTTGCTGATTAAAATTTAAAAGTGACAAAAACGAAGCGTTCGTATATTTTATGTTATAATTTACCTACGTGAACAAAATATTATTATGTAATACTTAAAAGTGAATCGCGTTAGATTACGTATGTATATCAAGTATTTGAGTATTTGAGTTTTGGTAGGTATGTAATATTTGTGTACGTACCTACTCAACATACTTTGCTGGTACAAATAATATTTTGTAATGATTTAGAAAATTAGTTTATTGGTGTTAGATTTTATAATTTACTATTTACTTAATCAGTGCAACTATTCATATAAACACAAATATTAATATGAATTGCTGTAAACTAAGTGATATAAAAATAGTCGGTTTACTGATTTATATTTTTTGCCTCGGTAAACGTCTACTTATAAATTATAATAATGATAATTATAAACGTTCACTGATAAGAACTTACTGAAAATATTATAGAAAAAAATTCCACATCCACCGTTATCTTGGTAGGTATCCATGTTCAGTGTACTTTATATAGGACCTAGTAGACCTACTCCTATAATACCTAATATGATGGTCAGTTAATTTAATTTTACCTTGATCTTGTATCTACTAATTAGGTACTAGTTCTAGTCAAGAGGGTAACTAGCTGAGCTGTAGTCTCTAACTCTTTAAATTCAGGGATCACTAAAGTGTATTATTTCCGTTGATTATTTATTAGTTTTATTTATGATAGTGTATTAATATCCATTGAGTACTTATATAATTTCAAAGCTGAGCTTTCTTACACAATGTTTTTTTTTATGATTTACTGAGACTTTTTTTTGATAGGTACCTCCAAAATTAAAAACTAAAAAAGTTTTTTACAAAACTCTACAAACTATAAATTATATCTCTATACTTTTTTTTGAATTTCGATTACTCCCTCTCTCTTTCTCTCCTTATGTGATTTGTACATGTATATGTATATACATAGGTATACCTGCATCAAAATTCTTAAAAATCTGATCAATTAAATACACAATATACTGGAAATAATAAATTTAAAAAAAATTTGGAGAAAAGTTGCGCTATTATCATAGGTGTAATAGGACATTCTTTAAATGGTTAAATAGTTAACAAAAATCTGGTGCTTACGTATTATATTTAGGTACACTAAAAATCAGAATTGTAATTAATTTATTATTCATGGAAAAAAGGGGAGAATACACGTTATATTTTATACTTGTAATATTATTCACGCTAAACGGAAAAATTATACAAAAAAAAATTTAAAAAAATATAATTAGAAAATAATTACTTTGGTATAATGATAAATTGTAATCTATGTTTTTTTTAAAATTATTTTTAATCAAATATTATATTATTCAAAGCTATACCTACAGGAACCTGCTTGTATTATGTATAATATAAATTATAATCTATTATTATACTTTAATGTATATGCACTGTATGCCTATACACATATTAATATATGTTAGTATGAAATTTCGCAATCATTTTATACCTACCTAATATATATATTACGTATTTACGTGCTAATTTATGTAAATATGAGGTATCTTAAATGAAAAATATTTAATTTGGTTCTAATATTAAATTTACCTATCAGTTATAATGTACAGTTTATAGTTTTTTTTATTATCTATAAAATAGATCAGTTAAAAAAATTAAATAAGTATAACTCAGCTGTATATTAGGTTGTATATATTTGCTAAGAGTTTTTCTCCAAACGTTTTTCGGGTTTATAAAAAAACTCGAAAAGTTTCTTGCTTCATCACCGTAATGATGAAAATGCATAATTATTAATGTATAGGCACTATTTTTAGGGTAATTCTTTAAAAAATTAAAATTTTTTGTCTAACGATTATAAACGTTTTTGAAAAAGACAAATGATGGTGTATATTTTTTCAAAAATCATAAATTTTGTAATAACTCTAGATTAGATGTATATATGAAAAAAACATTAACACGTTTGCAGGTAATGTTTAAAATGTTGGTGTATGCACAAATATAATGTAAAACGTTTTATATTTTTAATTTCATCTTCATGAAACATAATAATTAATATGTTAAGCTTATAATTATCGTGAAATGTGATCAATTAGTAAGAGTGTGCAATGCATACAATTCTAGCCCTATAATTGATTTATGATCATTGAACAGACAAATTGTATGTTAAAATGTTCCATATACTTGCCAACTATACTTTTTAATTTGTATCGAAGCCCGAAGGATTTATTATAATGTATTATTATTTTGAAACTACTATATTACTATTTGTTTAGAATCTAAAAAGTTTATGTAGTTATTTTTTATATTTCTGTTGAGATTTAAAACTATAAGTATTTGTGAAGTATTAAACTTTGTAAATTGTTTGTAATAGATTAACATTTTTAAATATTTTTTTTTCTCTGATTTTTAATTAATATTAATATATCATAAAACATACTTAGTAATATACGTTTAT